GTGTTTATTATTCGAGTAGCAATGGAGCGATTTTGCCAATTTTTTATAACTTTTAATATCCACCTAGCTGTCGATATATTATCAGAGTACAGACAAAATACTAGTAAACACAATAATAATAATCATTTTAAGAAGAAATCGTATGTAAACACGAAACGTGTGTAGCAATAAAACGATTTGATTCAAAAGTTATCGTAAAAGTTCAAAACGCTCCAGAAACCCCGAAAGTAAAATTTATTGGAAAGAAAAAACTTTTTCTATTGAATTTAGAAAAGCAATATATCCAAGGCAAACTTCTTTCATCAAAATTATCAAAAACTCGAACCAATGAAAACATGATCCAACATTCGACATTTTATTGAAAATAAAAACAAGAAAGCAAACTTCTCACAAACAAATTAATGAAACTTGTTAAGAATTCAAACAAAAGCAAAGCTCGACGGCGTACAAACGAAAAGCTAAATAGGTAAATAATGAAAGGTGAAAACTTTCAAATGAAATCCATTCGAACTTTTTGCCAAACAAAAAACTTAGTTGAGTGAGAACTGTGGGGCACTAATTTAACTTTTGTTTAAGGGATATGAACAATGCTTAACCGACCAATGGTTTAACATACTTGTTTTAAACACAACTTGGAGAGTTCATAATGCCTTCAACTTTGTTAGGCACACTTTAATCTGCCATATAATAAATATGTATAATGAAATTTATGTAAATCCGTCCGACTGTTTTAAGCAGTATACAATAATAATGCACATACTAGACTTTACTTATTGATGCTATATTAATGAGATATACTGTACTGGACTATGGTAACCAGAGTGCCAATAAACATATATATTTTAAAATATATATATTTAAATAGATAAATTACAAACAGCCAAAACAAATGACTGTGCTCATCACACAATATTTTTGTTTTGGGTAGGAATTGAACTTACAACATCCAGCTTAGCAGTCACAACCACTAGACCAACAGGCCTGTCAACTGTCAGGAATGGTACAAATATGAGAGGATATTCAAAGTTTTATAACTAATCAGGATTATTTAAATAGTAAAATAACTATTTAAATAGGTAAGTAGTAATGTACTCTGTAAAGTATATATTTTTAGACACATTTAAGTATGTTTATCAGAAGACCAGTTACCATAGTACACAGGTGCTGTCTAGTTTGGAATTTTGCTGTGTATGAGTTGTATTAGGCTATTAAAATAAATTTAAAACTTTATTGTTTTAACTTGTTTTAAAAGACAACTCCTGCACTAGGTATATATATATCCTGTATCAAGAGGTTTTTACAGTTCACAAAAACTTATTGCTAAAAATAATTGTGTGATGAGCACGGTCATTTGGTCTGTGTCTGAGTGTACTTTATCTATAATTTGTACATATTTAGAAATATATAAGTATGTTTAACAGCATTCTGGCTACCATAGTAAAGTGTCTGCCTAGTTTAGAATCAGAAGGCCGTGTGAGATGTGTAAAATTTTTATGTTATATTAATAAAAAATATTTATTAAAAATCAATACATTTTTTTACACTTTGTAGTGTTTTACACATTATTTTTTTTGTTTTATAAAGTTTGTAAGTTTTCTGTTTTAGTAAATTAAACTTCTAAATGTGCTAAATATGTTTCCATTATTTTGCAATACAGACTTACTAACTGCACCCCGTGGTGTTACTTGTGTTGTTGTTATTGAAGTACCTTGCCCATCCCACAGGAACACTGCATTTTTTTCTAGCATAATTATGTGCTATTCCAGACTAATTATAATCTATCTCTGCACTGTTTTTGTGTGAAAGAGTAACAAACATCCAAACAAACATTTGCCTTTATAATATTAGTAAGATATTATTCACTTGACAGTAAAAGTAATATTGTTTTATTCCATACTCTTGAGTGTACTTATAAAATAAGCTTGTCTTGATAAGATGAATTTTTATTTAAGTAATCCACAATGTTTCAAATTTACTCCTACATGTTTTTTATAGGGTACTATATAGCTTTTGCCTGCCCCCCACCTGCATGTATGTCGGTTATAGCTGTAAAAAGTAGCCTATGTATGTGACCCATAGATAATATAGCTTACTACTGGTGAGGGAATTTTTTAAATCAGTTTAGTGGTTAAGGCATGAAAGCACAAAAAACAAACAAATTCACTTTCACATTTGCAATCTAAGTATGAAAGTATGGATTACTAATGTGGCAAACACATCTATTATTCTTCTTTATTTCTTTAAGTTGTTAAGTCTACTTAGTACATAGTTATCAATTTCAAAGTTTTTCAATAATAGATTATTAATTACTGTTTTCAATATTCCATAACTATAATGAGCAAAAATAAATAAGTTTATTTACCTAGCAACTTTTCAAATTTTACAATTAAAGTATAAAGACTATTATTGAGTTTGTTTTTGGTCACAAAGCAAAGTGGTTCTTTATCAGACCCATAGTGAGGTCTATATTGGTGACTTCTCCGCGTCTACTGGAGTTTTATCTTAACAGTTTCTGTCCTAAGCCAAACTAGGGAAATGGTCTTAAATAAACCAGTGTTTGTTTTGTTGAATTGCTATTCCAATAAGTTCTACATCGTTTTAATAGTTAAGTACATACAACATTGATGGAATCCTTGTGGGAACTCTACATGCGAGAGTTAGGATATCAACTTATAGAAAGATGGATCTTCTTTTATAGTATAGGACCAAACTTATACATAGCAGATGCATTTCATGATGTTTAACACTTTTAGAGCAGTTAAATAATTATGGTATATTTACATTTTTAATACTAATAGAAAATAAAGTTCAGACTTTCAGTATTACGGAACCAGTTTTAACTAGTTTACAACAGCCAAATTATACATGTAAACTGTAAAGTAATGAGTATAAAAACCAAGATATTACAGTTATCTTTAGTTTTATCTATCGGTAGGTTATCAATATGAAACGTTTTTAAAATACTACAGGATCAAAGGGTATGCTCTAAGTAAAAATGCAAGTATCATAGTATCTAGTAATGTTTACACATTCTCTACACTTATAAAAGATAAATTGAGTGAGTTGCACCAAAAACTAAGTGACTATTACTTTGGTATCAATCACTGAGAGAGTGGAATGTTGGAAAAGGTTATAAATTACACCTTTACTAGTCTATAATTTAAGTCATATAGCAACAAGTTACGATTTTACGTATAAACAATTTCTGATTGACTCACCCTTACACCGTTGGTCTAATCTTTGTGAAACAAAAATATAAACTATTCGAATGAAGACTACGGCAAGCTCACCAATATACACCCTGTTCACTATCTAAGCACTAGGGTCATTACCGTTATGAGCACATGTTGGTTACTTTTCATAAACTAAAAACTAATCAAAACCGAAATGAATTTATTGAACTTTAGTTTGTAAAGGATTCTCGAAACAACCAATTCAGTATTAACACGTTTTCTCACGCGATCATGAGGTGACGCGTCGGCGTCGCCGCGAGATTAATGTCGTCGGCCGCCAGCCACCGCTACAGCAAAGCAATCACCGCGCTGGTAGAGCCGCATCAATGACGCTATCACATTCTTGCCAATTACTATCTATTGTTGCAATTTAAGACATTTTACAATCACTCCCGCACTTTTGACGCACTGTAACTACTTTGTTATTAGTAAATATATAAGAACTCACCGTAAATAAGCCGATTCCAACAACAAAGAGTCACCAGCCACGCGCTCCAATTATAGGGCACACACAAATCACGAAAGCACAAGAAGATGAAGCAATATAACTTCACAATAAAAGTTAGTTAAATCCACAGTCAGTGTGTAAAGTCAAATTGAACTAAGTTTCCCAGGTTTTCGTGGGTACATTCACTGAACCGAGAAAGTATACCGTGAAGCACCGCCAGCTACATACAAAATGGCGGATTTGCGTAATGAAAGTGACGCGCTGACGCGCCGAAAACGCATGGCTAAAAATATTGTCAATGCACAAAAATTCTGACAGCTGCTGTTTTAGTTAATTATACTTTACGAAAAATTAAGTAAAATAAATTTATAATATTATGACATGTAACTGATTATCATTTTTTTTAAATAAAAATAAAACATATTTTTTTAAATCGGTTACTTTTATTTCAAAGCAAATAAAACTAACCAATAAATGTTTTATTTTTATTACGCAATATCAATTTAATACTTGTTAAGAGGACTTTTCCTCTTAATAAGTATTAAATTGGTATTGCGTAATACCTAAATAAAACGAGGAAAAATTAGACTAAAGTTAGGTAACAATATGTTTTGTTTTTAAACTGCCAAAAGAGAAACCTTTTACTTCAGTTTCAAACTAGGTAGTCAAATCTAGAAATGTAGCTTTGCCTATGCTGCAAACCGCTCAAAAACTAAAAAAAAAACCTTGTCGGTACACTATGTTAAAGATCAATAAAGTGAACACTTAAAAAGAGTACGTTTATCTATTTAGAAATAAAGTGATATTTTCAATTTCAAATATTAAGAAAAATAGACATTAAAGAATAGTAAGCTAAGTAATAATTTCACTATGGACTCAAATCTTTTTAATAGAAGAAAACTCCAACTTTCGAACGTCAAGGCATAATTATATAGCTATCTTCCTCATCTATGTGTCAAGTGATAGAGACAAAGCAATGACACTGGATTTTGGATGAAAAACTTACTTTTTCATACAATACGTGTTCGTCGTAGGAAGGTTTGTGTATTTTTGTTCATTTCGTTCTAATGCAACTCTTCTATGTAATTAATATACTTGCTATTTTTGATACATTTACATTGGTTTTGTGAAATATTACGCGTTGAGATAGTAATGCTTGTTGACATAACTACGTATATGTTTCGAATAATTCATTGATCAATCAGCTGAGTTTTGTTTTCATTCCAAAGGTTCCCACGAGTGTATTATCGGAGTCAATTTAAGTTTAAAAGGATAGTTGGATAAAAGATATCAAGCTGGAGGGCGATACGAGAAGTAAAATGAACGAGTTGAAGTCTTTGGAGCATGCGACGCTAAAGGTAAGTGGTTAGCCATGTTACTTTTAACACTTATCCTGAATGATAATTTATCATTTCAATATATATTTACGTTTTTTTTTCATGTTATTTTATTGCAAACTTTTAGGTTTTGTGATTATTTATGCTAAAACTAAACAATGCAGTTTATAATTGCCGATAAAATTGTATGAATGAAATGAAATCAATGGTTTTAACTTAGAATTACTAGGTTTTATATTTGACTATTTGCTATATTATTAACACCTCTGCGGCTAAAACACGTGGTCTGTGTTTATAAAAAAAAACAGTTTAAAAACACATGAAAGTTTTTTTTTTAAATGATAACATGTTGATAGATTGGACAATAGTACACATTCAGGCCCAAATTAAAAAAAAAATTAACCATACAGTGAAGTTTCATCATCATCAACAGCCTTTAATAATCCACTGTGGGCATTGACCTGTATTTAGAAATGAGGTTTTGGCCTACTATACCATGCTTGGTATAGGGTTTGTGTCAAGTTTTCCTTCTCTTTGCAGTGCTGTTGTCTGGCATAGTTTGCTTCCTTAGTCGGCTTTTACAACACCTATGGGATGAATAGAGCCGAGGACATTCAGTATTCTTAATCTGTCACCACACAGATGAACATACACACAGTGAAGCTTCACACAAAAGAAACTTTTAATACTGGTGTTAACAATGGGAGCCATGAGAGCCATGTTTTGGCAAAAAAGGGCTGTGACCATTGTAATAACACAACCTTAAAAGGAAACGGTGTTACACAATTATTTTGTGGCTTTTCACCGAGTGAAAACCCTCTAGTTTATCCTGTTAGACAATTCAGTCACTTTTGAAGATATGACTCACGTAATCCATACTAATATCATAAATGTGAAAGTGAGACTGTCTGTCTGTTACCTCTTCCCGCTTAAACCGTTGATCCGATTTACATGAAATTTGGTATCAAGATAGTTTAAGTCCTGGGAAAGGATATAGGATAGTTTTTATCCCATAAATCATCCTTTATGGAGGTGAAAATGAGGGTGAACTGTGTGTTACCAAGATAACCGACATACACACAGGTGGAGCCGCAGGCAACAGCTAGTTTAAGATAAGACTGCCTCGGTGACGCAGTGGTAGCGTATGCGACTGCTATGCTGAGGTCTCGCGTTCGGGTTTATCTGCAAATATTTGTTTCGGAGTTTTGGTGTTTTCTATGCATAATATGTATGTATTAACAAAAAAACAGTATATAAGTATCAGACAATCTAGCTTTCATAGTACATGCTCTGCTTAGTTTGCAACTGCTTAAATGGCATTGTGTCAGATGTTATTTCAAGAGAAAAGGAATGTGACAGCCAATATTTATGGACATTTTATGGAAAAACAAAACAGTTATATACTTAATTAACTTTGATAAAATAAATATCTTATAAAAACAATATATCTTATAAAAACAATCTTGGCCTTTTTCCAGTGTGTATAAAGTTCAATTTATTTAATCACTCGGTTTACATGAATATAAGTACCAATCAAGGCATAGTAGAATAGCGAGAGATATTATAGAGTGAATAGAAAAATATGTTGTTTTGATGATCACTGCAACGTAAAATTAGTTGTCAGAAACAGGAATATAGGTATTCTGCTAGATATCACATATTATGTCTTAAATGTAAACATAGTGACCAAAATTTTAAAAAAATATCTTAAGGTGGTACAACGGTCAGCACATGGATAGAATGCGGAACAAATAAAAAAACAAATAACTTATTTTTGCAATGCATTTTTACTTACCGTTGTAGTGTATGTACTACTGTACCGTTCATCTGACCATCATGATAAGGAAATTACTTAAACGCTAGCGAAGGACAGCAGATGTGGACATGAGCATAGATGTAATAAAGCTAATGTGTTTGTTGAAGGAGCAAATTGTTGGAATTATGGGATAAATAATAATCTTGTACCACATTCACACAACGCCATCTAGTCCCAAACTAAGCAGAGCTTGTACTATGGCTACTAGACAACTGATATAAATACATATATACTTTTCTTTTTGTAAATACATACATATTATACATAGAAACACCCAAACCAAATCAAACCTTAAATGTTCATGCACACAAATGTTTGACTTGAGCGGGAATTGAACCCGCGACCTTTGAAATAGCAGTCCGTTACACAAACCACTTTGCCATTCGGTCGGTTGGTCTGATTTGTTAACTATTTTTGCATTTGTTAGACTTATGGTTAAGGAAGGTTATGTGACATCGGACCTACGAGAGTGGAGAAGTGAATATAATCACTGGACAAATTCTTCAATAAGAATCAATCATGTATCAATTGTGAACCAATTAGGTTGATCATTGTTGTGATAGGTCTGTTGGTCTAGTGTTTAGAAGAGATGGAAATTATTGCTTCCTTTAAATCATATTCATCTGATGAAATAATTATTTTTGGTCACTGTGATTTCACAAGTGATAAATCACAGTCACAGGTGATTGCGATTTTATCCCATGCCTAGTGGTTAGTGACCTTGACCGCTAAACCGGAGGTCGTGGGTCCCATTCCGTGTCTGAGTGGGTCCCATTCCGTGTCTGAGTGGGTCCGACCGCGTCAATGTCGGTTATCGACGTAAAAAGTAGCCAATATCTTTCCTCAAGAATTAAAGTTTCTAGATACCAAATTTGATCTAAATCAGTTCAGCGGTTCTTGATTCTTCACATCACATCAACAGCCTTTAATAGTCCACTGCTGGACATAGGCCTCTCCTTAGATAGAAGGTGATTGGTGATCTTGATTCTTGATTCACATAACCTTCCATGCCCCTTTTCACTCCCTTAAAGTATGATTTCTGGATCTATCGATTTAGAAGGATTAAATGCTAGCAGTCTGGTTACTATAACACAGGTTTTGTCTAGTTTGGAATCAGAGATGTGTCAATATGCCATGTGTGAGATGTGTCAATTTCTAATGAAAAATTGGATATTATCCGCCGTTTTGTGACCAAAAAAATTACAACATTAGAATCATCAACAGCAAATAATAGTCCACTGCTGGACATAGGCCTCTCCTTAGAAAAGAAGGTTTTGGCCTACTATACCACGCTGGCCAGACGGGTTGGTATAAGGATTGTTTCAAGTTTTCCTTCTCTTTGCAGTGCTGTTGTCCTGCGTAGTTTGCTCCCTTAGTAGGCTCTCACGACACCCACGGGATAAATAGTGGTGGTGACATTCCGTATTCTTAATCCGTCACCACACGAATATTAGAATACCTCAAATAATTGTTTATCTGTGGTTTCTTTTCAGGTACCATATGAAATATTTAACAAGCGGTATCGCAATGCTCAGCGTGTTTTGGACGTTGAAGCACGCCAGGTTGGAACCACCACCCATGAGCTTGAAAACGTCGCTAGAAAAGAACCTGTCACTACTGGAGAAATTGATAAGTTACTTGGTGGAATGGTGAGCTTTTATAACATAACTAGCTGACCCGCGCAACTTCGTCTGCTTCTCTCAATAGTAATAAATTTTCTCCGTTTTTGAAACATTCTTCATTGGTGCTCCGCTCCTATTGGTCTTAGCGTGATGATATATAGCTTATAGCCTTCCTCGATAAATGGGCTATCTAACACTGAAAGAATTTTTCAAATCGGACGATTAGTTCCTGAGATTAGCGCGTTCAAACAAACAAACAAACTTTTCAGCTTTATAATATTAGAATAGATATATACTCGAACTTTGTAACAGAAACAATGTGTTACAGAAAGTTGTGTTTATATTAATTTAGAGAATGGTACAACCGAAAGAAAAAGGTTTTATTGTATTTTTTTTTAATTTAGAGTTTGTTAACGTGGGATCTTCTTGGAATCAATGTATTTTGTTTTCAGTCATGTAATTACGATGCTCTGTAACCTACTGTACAAACAACAAATGCTTTGGTTGCTTATACAATTTGTTCTTGTTGTTTAAAGAGGTTTACAGTTTAATTTGTTCATTTTCTCAACGCAAAAAGGATTGAAACTAAACCTCTATGTTACAATCATAAACTAACTTAAAACTATTACAACCAGCGCATCCCTAATTCCCCTAAGAAAAAGGTATGTCTATTTAAATACAACATTCATTTTCATTAATATTTAGTGTGACCTCCATAGTTTATAATACAACTAAGAAAGAACCCACTAAACACCATACGTTTTCTATAGGATTTAAATCAGGGGATCGCGCTGGCTATGGAAATAACCTTAAAATTCGAATATTGACGAAGTCATTCGCTAATAATACCAGCACGGTGTATCGCACGCACAGTTATCTTGAACAAAATAAGTTCAATAAGTTCTTTCACGGGATAAACAGGTAGCATACAGCACAGTAGGTAGCTTTATGTCGTTCAAAACCTCGAAGTAATTGCAGTCTAGTTGGTTTGAATCCATTTGTTTCATATTCACCAACCATAAAGCGTCGCTAAGACTGATTAACAAGCGGCGACTGAACTGGACTTAATAATTTATTCACAAGTTTGACATTTTTTTCTAAAAAAATTAATCTTATAATTAATTTAGCTCCAATACTTAAGATTACACGGATGGCGTAGTGGTTAAAGCAATCGCCACGCCGCTTCCTACTGCGAAAAGTGTTGTGGGTTCGATCCCCACATGGGACACCACTTTGTGTGATCCAGAAATGGTTGTTCTAAGTCTGGGTGTTCTTTGTGTCCGTTTCATGTATGTTTGTAGTCTCCCGCAACACAGGATTTATATATTCCTAATGACTAGTCTTTAAAAAAAAACAAAGAACTTAAGAGGTTTGAAATAAAATCATACACCACAATTTTTATCACACAATCAAACAAAATAACTAATATTTAAGCGGGTTTTATTGAATATTTCAGATACTAAGCTAACGTAAAGCTAAAATGTTAGCCCTAGCTTCAATATTAATATTTGCTTGCATTTTGAATACAAATATTCAATATAAACATCAGAAGCAATTAATAACACGAATGCTCGTAACTAAGTTCACTAACCATGTCAAAATTTGAGGGTGTTTTTGAAACAATAATAGTTTATCATTAAATATAAATCTACCCTCAATTTTTAGTGACTACTAGTTTAAACTATCGAATCAAAGATTTATATACGTTCGTTACAATACTGCACTCATTACCACATTCGATGAATTTTCAAATAATTACTGTAAGGATGCATTAGTTTTAAAAAGGCGGCATTGCATCAGTGTCCACCCAAAGACGGGTTATTAATTACGTTTAAATTAGTTAATATAATGCATGTAGCGGGATATATGTGTGTGATAAACCTTATTAGACCGTCATAAGTCCAACTAGTTAGAATGTTATAAGTTATAATTTAATAAATAGTTATAATGTCGTAAAAGTGCGACTAAACTTATGACCAAGACCCGTACCTTATGAGAGTAATAGACGTTATTATGTGCGGAGTTCTCGACTTGTGGTGGTGTAGTCACATCTAAGCAAATGCTGGATTTAAAAAAAAACTGAATTTTAAATTAAAAAAAATTTGTTTGCAGACTTTTTAACAATTAGTAACAATATTTTCTAGTGAATAGGAGACTCATTGAACACTCTTTAATCCATAACAGGTAGAGAGATTAAAAGCAATGAAGCGTAAGGCATCTGAAGCGATCACGGAAGAGGTGCAGACTGCGTACGTTTGTAAGAAGAGACTGGACCACTTAAAAGAGCAGGCAACGGCTCTATCTGAACCGAGCACTCCTCAAGTTAAGGTAATTTTCCACTCCCACTGGCTACTTCTCTAAATATGGATTAAGTGAATTGAATATTTATGTAAATTCTAGATTCTGATCTAGAGTTTGATCTTCTCCTTCTGTCTTCCTCTCATTTTAGGTTGTCATTTTTGCGTCTGCGTGACGCTTTACTTGAATCTCAGTATTATAGTGTATTTTTGAAAAGTGTAAAAGTATTACCTAAAGTGGAATTTTGATAAATTTTTGAGCTCTAAAACGTGCACACTCTTGATGTTATATATCTCGATGATGGTGTGTTCGTGGATCACTGCTGTTGATTCCGGTGTACAGGAGTTACAGTACAGTAGGGGGCTTCTGGGAGAGATTACTCCCAAATATTGATACTTATTACAGTTTTACCCACAGACTGCAGTGAACCAGTGGCGCAAAGTTCGCTTGGACCGTATGCTCGTGGAGTACTTCTTACGTAACGGATACTATGAGTGCGCCAACAAACTCGCTGCAGCCAGAGGACTAAAGGATCTCACCAACGTTGGTCAGTATTTTTGAAATATATACAACTACCCACATATTCTTGTGAGAGAAAATGTCGATTGCGACATTTTCTCTAACAAGAATATGTCTATCAAAAAATACATTTTGACGTATGCATAGCACTGATTAAAAATAAAAGATTTCTAGACACGAGCATTAATTTAATAAAAAAATACATATGTTTCGCAGATATATACAGCGTAGCTGCTGAAGTCGAGACTGAGTTATACTCACAGCGCACATCCCGATGTCTGCAATGGTGCGCCGATAATAAGAGTAAACTTCGGAAGCTTAACTCTAACATGGAATTCAAGATACGAATACAGGTATAGTACATTAGATATTTTTTATTTAATTATTATTAGTCATCTTCCGTGTGGTGACGGATTAAGAATACGGAATGTCACCACCCCTATTCATCCCATGGTATCTTAAGAGGCGACTAAGGGAGCAAACTACGCAGGACAACAGCCTTGTAAAAAGAAGGAAAACTTGAAAAAATCCCTATACCAACCCGTCTGGCCAGCGTGGTATAGTAGGCCAAAACCTCCTTTCTAAGGAGAGGCCTATGTCTAGCTGTGGACTATTATAGGCTGTTGTTGTGATGTGATGTGAGTCATCATCATCGACAGCCTTTAATAGTCCACTTAGAAACTAATCCACTCCTGCTTTCATCATTATGTTTGCAAAGTTCCCAGCGTCATAGGATATGTTCCTAATGCGTGAGTTGTCTTTTTAAAGAAAAAAAACAAAACTTTGTACAAAAAGTTCACCTCATTCCTCGATAGATGGCATCGTCATTGATTTAAAGTCGCGCTATCGGTTTGTTACCGTGCAGTATATAAAAGATCACGATAATATACGCTAAATGTTTACGTTCTGAGTACTTTTATAAAATACTAACTTTAAAACATCCTTATGAATTAGTTATTCGAACCCACAACCACTTCCATCCCAAGTTAAACCTTTAACGAAAGAAGAATTACAAAGCTGTTCTATACTTATAGGAGTTTATAGAGTTGGTTCGCCAAGACAAACGCCTCGAGGCTGTGCGCTACGCCAAGAAACATTTCTCCACATATGAAGAAGACCAGCTCGAGGACATTCAGCACTGTATGGGCATGCTCGCATTCCCCAAAGATACAGGTATGTCTATTAAAGGTATATGTACTACTGTTGACTGCACAGATGGCGTAGTGGTTTAAATAGTCGCCACGCCGCTTCTTAATACGTCGAGTGTCGTGGTTTCGATCCTCACATGGGACGACACTTCGTGTGATCTACAAATTGTCGTCCTGGGCCTCAATTCTGCTATTTTATGTTTACGAGAAGCCAGTGTCATACCACTGACACGCTATTGAGATGCCATCGAGTAGCCGTTGGCATCGGTATAAATATCGGTAGTTGAAAATATATTACGTTTTTGAGGAAATGATTTATTTGTTTATATTATAATAAATTATTAAAAGAAATAAATAAATTAAAATAACTTAAAAAAAAAGAACTAAATAAATTACTAAAATAAAAAATAAAAATAAAAAAATATTTCCTCAAAAAATGTAAGTAATATATTTTCAAATTATAAGGAAATGACTTATTTATTTAAATATTTTTTTATTTTTATTTTTTAATTTTAATAAATTATTTCTTTTTTTAATAATTTATTTATTTCTTTATTCTTTAATTTTTTTATTTTTAAAGTTATTTTAATTTATTTATTTCTTTTAATAATTTATTATAATAAAAACAAATAAATCATTTCTTCAAAAAACGTAATATATTTTCAACTACCGATATTTATACCGATGCCAATGGCTTCTCGATGGCATCTGAATAGCGTGTCAGTGGTATGACACTGGCTTGGCGTAATAGCAGAATTGAGGCCCAGGGTGTCGTTCGCGTCCGTTTCCAAAGTATCTGAGCGTGCCCCCCCAGAGGTGGAGCCGTACCGCGCGCTGCTGGCGCCGGCGCGCTGGGCGGCGCTGGTGGCGCAGTTCCGCGCGGAGCACTCGCGCCTGCTGCACCCCGCGCGCGTGGCGGCGCTGCCCGTGGCGCTGCAGCTGGGGCTGGCGGCGCTCAACACGCCGCAGTGCTACTCCGCCGGCACCAAGGTGTCGGCCTGCCCCGCCTGCGCCGCGCCGCTCAACGCGCTGGCCGTGGGGCTGCCGCACGCGCACGTCTCGCACTCGCGCCTCGTGTGTCGCATCTCGCGCGCGCCGCTCAACGAGCACAACCAGCCCATGGTGCTGCCCAACGGACAGGTCTACGGCGAGAAGGTACGGCGAGGGGCCTGACCCCTCATTTACTTTGCTGAATGTTTAACAAAACGGAGATCGTCGCTATTGTGTATTTGTGATTTTAGTCTATAAAAGAGACTATTTCAAACAATTAAAAAAAAATTGAATTTGAGGAATTTCTCGAAGATAAGTAACAAAAAAAATCTCTACACTTTTCTGTGAAACCGCAGTATCACTCCTAATCGAACCGGCCCATTTGTGGCGAAGCATGGCTTTCCCACGACAATAAAATAGAGTCTACTGTAATACACCTACTACTACGAGCACCGACTTCTGCATACTGCGCTATAATCGCACCCTTCTCTTTCCAGGCCCTCAAGGAGATGATGAAGGAGCACGGCTCCATCATCTGCCCGAAGACAAAGGAAGTGTTCTGTATGAAACGCGTCGAAAAAGTGTATGTTATGTGAAGCGACACTGTCGGCGACTTGTACATACTGCCCGACTTCTACGAACAAACATTTAATCACCACTTTTGGTTTTATTAAATATTTGAGCAACACTTTGAGTGATAATTTGACTCATGTTGGTGACGTGACATATACCATTACAGGAATAAACTGTCACTAGAACATATGAGATAGGCGATTACTTCTTTTGAAGTTTTTTTTTTTTATTTCGTCTCTTTCAAATTCTCTCAAAGATCTTTTTCAAATTCGCATGCTAAGATATATAATATGTGCCATCATTCCATGTCATGCCACCACTATGTCTCTATTATCATCACGTAAAATAAAATCTAAAACCACGAATTTACGACCTTAAACAAACTGAACTAAGGAAAGACAAAATATGTTTTGGACTAAATTTGTTTGAATCACAATTTTTGCAGTTTAGCAATTGTTGTACAACTCGGATCTTTCTTTAACACAATGTTGTTACAATAAAAATTACCAATATTTAACGTCGCGCAATAGAAATTATAAAAATGTAATGTTTGCGGTCGCCGGTGACGTGACGGCGTTCAAATGTTCTTTATTATAAGGTTTGAAACGATGGACTAAAGAGGGAAGGAGCGCACTACGTTGTACAAGCAATAAACCAAAAAATGTCCAACGAAAAGCAGTAAATAAAAGTTAAAAAACCGACCAGATGGCGCTAGTGTAGGCAAGGATCATGACTTGAACTTACCAATTGTGTCGAATTAAAAATACATTTATTGTCTGTAAATAGTAAGTCTATTGTCTTAAAAAAAAACTGTCATACGACTGTCCTTATAGTTAATTTAAATTTGTCAATTTCGAAACTTTTTTTGATTGAAATTATAATTGTTTCAAAACGAGTTTCTTGCTTTGTTTATTTCTGTATCTTACTCTAATAATGTTTAGGGCTCTTTAAAACACTCAGCTGCCATTGCAGCCTAAATTAACTCATTATAACGGACACTTGATACACAGAACCAGTTGAAGACTGCACGGATGGCTTAGTGGTTTAAGTGGTCGCCGCGCCGCTTCTTACTTAGTGTTGTGGATTCGATGGGACATGGCACGAAACTTTGTGTGATCCACAACTGGTTGTTCTGAGTCTCGGTGTTCTTTGTGTCCGTTTCATGTATGTTTGTAAAGTGCCCCGTGACAGGATATATTCCTACTGCGGAAGTTGTCTTAAAAATAAGTTCTCCTTGCCTGTACCTCTCTATTTGAATATATAAATATGTGTCTAGTTAAAAGTATTTTATTGTTAGAATATTGTTTCGAGTAACCTTTTGTTAGAAATATAAATTAAAATTATTTTCTGTGCAAGCGCTTGCATATACATAAAATTTAATTTTAATTATCCTTAAACTACATTTCCTAATTGAAGTGAAAATACATTTAAATATAAAAACTCAATGCCAGCCGTCTAGAGACTTGCTACTTTAATGAAGGTTCCAAAAACCATTTTAAAATATTAACCTGCTAAAACCTATCTCGATAGAAAGGAATAACTTCTAGTTACGTATTACGTTAAGTTTATTTTACTTAATATCCTTTCTGTTCAGATTTAGAAAAACACTATCGCAGGTCAAGTGTTTTTTCTTTCCAATACTTTTTGGCTCCAAATGGAATTTGACAACTCGGAAGTGACGTTTAGAAAAAAAATTGTTGTTGCATTAAACTAAATTATTTGAAATTAAAAAAAAGTGATTAAATTGTTCTCTGTTTTGTTAGTCAGAAATTAATTGTAAGTTATTTCTGAATAAACACGCTTGTGTTTTTTAACTTATATCGTACTCTTGTTCTGTGTTTATGAGTACCGTGATTTTAAGTTTTGCCCTACCCTGTTGATGGTAGACTTTCACTTAATGTGGACTGTGTGATTAAGGTTGTAGTGATGTATAGTATAAATCATATCGATAATCTCAATGTATCATATACTTAACTATTTACTTTGAGAATTAAAAGCAAATATGAATTATTTGTTTTATTTTATCCCCAACTTAAGCGACTTCGTGAAGAGAATACTTCCCTGGACTAGTTTGTAATAAACAAAAAAAAACAGACACATGCTTCGTGTCATAGCCACTAGCTTGGCTACCATCATGGATTTTAATTTTAAAAAACAAAAAATTAGTCGAAATTTGTCGCCGAATATCAGAATTTGTCGGTCACTGGTTCAAAAGTTATAAGCGTTTCTAGGTGGCCTGGCCTATCTAGGGATTAACTCTGAAACTTAGCCAAGTTTATATCTCAAAAACTAAAGCACCTAACGAAGCAGATTTTTCATTGGTTCTCTGCTCCTATAGGTCGTAGACTAAAATAAAACATTTTGTAGTGGACCGAATTGTCAATCGAAACTGTTCTCGAATCCACTTGAACAGACAAAATATCTTATATATAAAATTTACGTGTCACAATGTTAGTTACCATACTCCTCCGAAAAGGCTGCACCGATTTTTATGAAATTTTGTGTGCACATCGGGTAGGTCTGTGAATCGGCCAACGTCTATTTTTGATACCCTTAAACGACAAGGGTGACCTAACCGTTAATTTTTTTTTAATATTTCCTAGAAATAATGTAGATGGCACAACAACGTTTGCCGGGTCAGTTAGTAATATATGTAAAGATAATTTGATATATTTATATTCTATTCTGATCCTAATCCTGAAGCCTGATCTAAATTTCTTTTCCTAAATTTTAATTGGCCCTCAATATGTTTTTCTTTTTTTAGGCTTCATATCTAGCTAAAATAAATAATAATAAATGGGAGGCATTTAATTTTACTATTAGTGCGTAAAGCGATCCCCATTCGGCCGCCGAGCGCTCAAGATCGGTGTGGGTAAGTACACGATAATTAGGTAAATCATATATTCGAAACAAATTAGGTAAATCATATATTCTTAATTCGGTAACAGTTTTTTATTATTGTAAGGTAAATTAACATTATAATTTGGTGAAACAGCAGTATGCATTGCATTAACACCAAACCAAGAGTAAGGTTTAATGTTTTTAGGAAGTTTAAGTTACTCTAGTCTACCTAGTCATTGAAAACATATTGTATTTAATTAAGAATTTATTAATCTCTGACATTTCTAAGGACTTCAGACCGATAAATAAATAAATAAAAAATGTTTATTACCATATAAGAAATACAACGTGACAACAGTGTCCTGTGGCCCCACACTAGGCAAGCCTGTCCTGTGGGTACCCAATTCAGTTTACACATTTAATTTTACATTGTTAGCTCGGACAACATTTTATCAGAGGTTCAACATTTAGATTAAGCTTACATTAAAACAATTTTATTAACTACATGCTAAGTTAATTATTGTTTGGTAAATACAAATAGATATTTATACAAAGCAAACGTGCGTTATGAATAAGATAAATGATAAAACTAGAACTATATTACACATATTTTTTGAGTTATATAAATTAAAATCCATGATTGAGATATAAATGTGGCCAAGTTGGGAAGATTATTCCCAGATCGGCTACTTTTGAATCACAATGATTGGTTGTAATCACAGCGAATTCACATATGATTGTGATTTCAGCATAGATATGATGGCACTAAAATTAATCAAACTTCTTTTTATCCAAGACCTTTCTTTTTTGATTTAGACTGCGAGTCTTGCGCTAGCGTAATAATAATAATTAAGTAGCAGTGGTTTTATAAATCAGTCGCAGGATATGATTTAGAAATCATATGATTTTATAAAATGCTTCGGCATATTTGGGTCGGTACTAGGTAGACCCTATACTATGGTAACCATACTGCTGATTAACATACCTTTTTTATTATATGTATATTTCTTCTAATACATACATATTACATATAAATTACACCCAGGACACTGAACAAATAATCGTAATTATTTGTACTGGCTTAGCAGTCAGGATCGCCGACCGTTAAACCAATAGGAAAGTAATTTCCTGATGTATTTTATGATATACAGCAATAATAAACACCAGTCTGCTCTTTCAGCATAATTAATCATTGGTGTAAAATGTTGTATCTTTGAGCTGTGTAGGCTCTGTCGATAGAAAGGTCAAAAAATAAAACTAAGGCAATCGATTCTGATATTTTTATTATTATTTTAACACATCCTTATTGTAAGCCGACGTATGATCGACTAAAATACTCATAAATGGCATTAATTATCACATTATACTTTAATGGCTACTGTTTAGTACTGTAGTACATATTATCTATGTTTATATATTTATAACAAGTGATTGAAAATAACAAACAAAGTGATTTGACTACGATTTTAGCACACACTCTTTGAATAAGATATGTGTCACGGAATAATTAAAGATATCTTAAGGTGTATTTAAATCAGTTTATGTAGAAAACAGACATAATTTAGTATGATCGAGTGCAGTTATTGCTAACAGAGTGTATTAATTAAATAAATAGTACATTTTTATACTAAACTGAAACAAAACATGATTTTTTACAGTTAATTTTTGTATATTTAAAATATTAACTATAATATAATGTAACACATGATTTTTTAAACGTTAGAAGTGGCAAACAAGCATAGCCAATGTACACCTACGACTCAAGAGCCCAGTAAACTTAAAAAAAGCAAAGTAAAAACAGTTGGCAACCTTTATTATTTTTAGTGTGGTTTAATAAAGTATTCATCATCATCAACAGCCTATACTAGTCCACTGCTGGACATAGGCCTCTCCTTAGAAAGGAGGTTTTGGCCTACTATACCACGCTGGCCAGACGGGTTGGTATAGGGTTTGTTTCAAGTTTTCCTTCTCTTTGCAGTGCTGTTGTCCTGCTTAGTTTGCTCCCTTAGTCGGCTCTTACGACACCCACGGGATGAATTTGGGTGGTGACAATTTGTATTCTAAGTAATAAATTCTAAGTATAAGTATTATTTAGACTAAAATAGTAACAAATTTACAATCTTCCGTGACATATATCTCTAGACTGGACCCTTGTATAAATTAGAACTGATTACATCGACTA